CCTTCTATAGATTTTGTTACGTCGACATCATTTCGATATATAATACTTGAGAGTAGAATTAATTTACAGATTGTCTATATAAGTCTTTGAGAAAAAACTAACAGGTAAAAAAACTAGTAGGGTGTATGGCATCGTGCCTTAAAGCAAATTGCTCTAACTTCCCGTACCGTAACGAAATGTTCGAAGAATATTGAATGTTTTCATATAGATTATTATAAATATTGTAACATTGTCAAATATTTATAAGAATTTTATAAACTGAATTGCAAAGTTAAAATTATTTGTTTAAAGTATATTAGAACTTTAGTTAGAATTAAAAATAAAATCTGAATTATTTTCGACAAAAAATTTTTTTACATAACCAATTATTTTGTTAAAACAAGCAGAAAGTTCTTTGAATCATTTAAATCGGGCGCATAATTCCCAAAAACTAATCAGCACATCTCCCTATCAATAGGAATCGAATGTTTTTTGAACAATTCAAATCGGTTGAACAGCGCGCCCGAAAACGTGTCCAAAAAATTGTATCCACACATACATACACACACATCCATTTTTTCTGAGGTATGCCAAAATGTTCAGAAACCTTCAAAACGCCGAGAAATGCAGAAATTTTCAATTTCTGTTTTTGGACGATTACAATAACTTAAATAATATAAAAAATTATAAAAAAGATAGGGTAGGGCGAGCACAAAGGTTCAATTTGACTTTGTTAGGAAAATATTACATTTATTACTTCAGGAATGTTATTATATATTAAAACAGATAAAAAACTACATTTGTAGGGTTTGGTATAAATTGATACTAAGAATCTGAAACAAACTAAAGTTATAAATATATTCTGAAAATTGCATCGATCTTACTGTAGTTAATTATTCGTTCAGTACCCTTAAGATTTACTATTAATATTACTTATGGTACTTTAAGATGAGTATTTTTTAATTATTCGATTTATAATATAATTACTACGAAGTTTAAGCTAGCACTTTATAGGAACATATAAATTAAAACAATTTGATGTGAGTATTAGAAATTTATTTTAAATTTTTGAAAAATTATAGTTAATAGCTTAAGAAAAAATGTGTAAATTTTAGTTATACTGATAAAGAAAAGTCAGTTATGGGATTTAGTATAAATGGCACCGAAAATTTTGATCAAATTAAAGTTAAAAATTTGTTGAAATGAAGTTTGAAAAAACGTTGAAACGTGTTGAAATAGTTAAGAGGCCTTATGTACACATTTAATTGTTTAGAATTCAAGGATATTCATGATTCTTATTTTGTTTCTGGATTAGTGATCTCAAAATTTTAAATTAATCGAATTATTCAAATACATGAAACAACAAAATGCATCATTCAATAGACATACAAATACCTGTAATGACCCAACAAATGCAAGAGGAGAAATATAATCTCTCTAGCTTGTATTCATTTAAGATCCGTTTAACGCGATCGTATAACTACTTCCAACCATAATGGCCCGTGTGTCGTTAAGTTATTAACGACCACGTAACAACTCTCGCTTTCAATTGAATCATCAAACTTTTATGTGAAATGCTTGACAGCGAAACTATCGGATCTGCACCCGCGCGTTCCCAGCCCGATGACCAGAATAATAGTCTAAGATTTTTTAGAATCTTTTTTATATTATTAAAAATGTTCACTCACAAAATGAAGCGTTGATCACAATAATAAGTTGATATTTTTTACATTTTTCTGGCTTATCAGTGTTATCCCTATAAAAAATGTACCCACGAAATATTTATTTTGCATTGGTTGAATAATGTAGCTTTCATTTCGTAAAATCCCTTCAAAATTAAAAATAAATCACTGTATCTGTCTCTTTTTACCCAGGGGTAAAAATGACTAGGTGGCAATTTTTTGAAAAATAGCAAAAAATATATTTCTATAATAATGAAATAGCTTGAAGTTTTACTGAATATAGTCAGATAGTTATTTGTTTGATATGTGAAATTTTTTGTGATATATCTGGTTTGGTTTTCACTATATAATTGTTTAAAATTAAATTGGACCTTTGTGCCCCGCCCTACTCTATATATAACTAATTTTAATAAGATTTACGAATGTCTTACTCAATTTTAAAAATTGAATAAATAATGTAATTATCTATTAATAACTAAAAACAATGAAGTATAATATATTATTGAATATATTTAATCATTTAGAAGTGACTTTCAATTCTCAAGACAAATTTTACGCGGAAAATTTACCATCAATACGACCATGAACTTGTAAGGTTTACCACATCAACTATTACGAAGTGAAAATCAATAAAAATGCAAGTGGGCAATAAAATGTTTAATTCTTTATCAATTACTAATCAATTACTTAGAAAAGGTAACGTCAACAAATCATATAATTTGATTGATCGTGCGAAGATATATGACGTACAGTTTTATAAGCGTCTTTTATTAGTAGTGGTGTCGGTTTGTGGTTTATTTTTCATTTATTATTATATGAGTGTTATAAAATAACAATTAACGAGATTTTATTATTGTATAGTACATCACGTTAACACGTCTACGAAATGTTTGAGTGTATGTTTTGAGCAAAACGGTTTAACAGTTTCACACTCGGCAGTGCTACCCATATTAATGTTTCTTTAGTTTACAACGAGTTTATTGCATGATTTATGTCTGATTATAAACTATAAACGAAATTTATATTGGGATATAATAATTAAGTAATGATAGTAAATATAATTATCAATAAGATTTGTATGGTGATACTCTGTCGTATATAATTTTTATTTCTGTTGTTGTAAAACAATAGCAAAAAATTATTTGTGCTTATTATTCGTTTCTAAAATGAGTAAATTGACTAAGCATAGGAATTAATAGAAGGGAAATAAAAATCATCCGATTGCCTTCGATAATGTTTTCAATTGAAACTTTATTCAAATTACAGAAACAAAATGTTTGTTCTATTATTACTCATTAGTCATTGGTTATATAGCAAAGGATTTTGGTCAATTACATTTTAAATGTTATACTTTTTATAGGTATGTAAAAATCAATATACGTAAATCATCATACTAAAAGTTTTGGTCTTTCTAGGCAGTATGCACTGCCAGTAGTATCCATGTAAAGTTAGTTATTTAGTTTGTTAAAGTATACTTCAAATATTCAGGATACAAGATTAAATTTTACTAAAAGTTTTGGTCTTTCTAGGCAGTATGCACTGCCAGTAGTATCCATGTAAAGCTAGTTATTTAGTTAGTTAAAGTATACTTCAAATATTTCGGATACAGGATTAAATTTACTCATTACGGAAAACAAATAATCTTTTTTTTTAGTAAAATACAAAGCAAAAAGGTTATTGAGCCTAACAATAATTTTTTGTAATGCTCTAAAAATACTCGTGATAATGTGATATACATGATAAATGGTCTTGAGATTTCTCTAACAGTAAAAAATCATTTGAATATCTGTAACGTTTTTTTTAAGTCGCAAATCTGGAAAATGATAAATAAGGACAGTATCAAGAACAGAATAAAATATGAAAATACTTTTAATGATAAAAAACTTAGTGAGAAAATAATTTGGAATAAAAATAAGGAGAAATAGAAAAAAGGAAAAGTAATTAAAACTATCTATAGAAAAGTTAAATCAGATATTAATTTTAGCAATTCATTAGCAAAATATTTATTTTAATTAACAAATTCAGAAATTTGTGTAGGGTTATATTATTTGTGATCATAACACATTATTACAAAGTATTAACTGTTGTAGTATATATTTTTTCCTTAACCGAGACTCAGCTTCGGGAGTTTTATGAGGGGTTCTTTTTTCATAAACTACCTACTGTCAAGCAGCAATTTGGCCTTAACAATGATACAATGGGTACACAGTGACCTGTTTCATTGTAGTTATAGTTAACATGCGGAAAAATAACCAAAAAAATGTTTGCTTTATCCCAGCATGAATATTGGACATATCATGTCCCAGTCGCTCGATAGGAACATATTCATGCATACAAATTAGTATTAAACACACGTTTTGCGTTCGAACAATTTGTTTTGCGAGGCTTACGCTGTACAATTTCCACTGGAGCTTGCGCGTTTCCACGACGTAACTAGATTTCGTGCAAAAGCGGACGTCTCGGACGAAAGTTGTGCAGGTTTGCACGAAGCGAGATCTGCCCGCTATCAGGACATCGTATGTCGCGTGCGCCGAGTGTACCGCGGGGAGACTACGTAGCATCGCCAGACGGAGCGTTCCCTCCCTGCGCCGTGTCTAGTGTCGTGTATTACGGGCGATCGTGTTCGTTGTGTGCGAGCGTGCCTGATTGTGTGTGTGGAGAGCCGCGGCCGAAAACGCGGCCGCGAGCTCACGTCAGTCAGTATAAGCGCGAGCATCGACGTGAACGCATCGCAGTTGATACGCTTCGAGAGACAGTGTACACAAACAACTTTATAACATCGCGCGTATGTTTCGTGACGAGAACAAGGAACGACGACGTTTTCATTTCGGACTCGTGCGTTCTACGTTCACGTATTAAGAACAGAGTGTGTTATAAAATAAAACCGGAATAATTAAAAATTTTGTTAAAAATAGTTTATGCAAAATATATAAAAAAATTAATTTTATCTGTGATACCTAAATACATGGAAGGTGTGTAATATAAAGACAGATATGTGTTAGCCCATTTTGCTTTTAAATTAAAAACAGTACAACGTATTTGAATTACCATTACTATTACCATTATCGTGAGCGGTGTTTTTGTTGTTGGAACGAGGGATAGTTGTATGTAGTTAGTAGTTGTGAGATGTGCCGGTTCGGCGTGTGAGTTCGTTTCGTACGGTCGTGGCGTTCGTCACTGAGTCGTGCCTCGTTTTCTCTCGGCCCCGGCGGCCATCCAATCATCATCGGCGACCACCTGGCTTGTGCGGCGGCCCTCTACGATCACAATGCATCCGCTACGCTCGCCGGACCCGCAGTGCCAAGCGGCGGTGGCTCCGGGTTGACTTGGTGGAGTATGATGTACGAAGAACCTCCCGCAGCTCCAGGCAGCGGCGGCAGTCCAGGCGGCGGCGGCGGCGGAGGAGGCGGCGGTTCGACCGCTGCACCCGGCGCGGCTGCAGCTTCCACGACGTCGTCCACATCTCCCGCCTCCACATCCTCGAATCCGGCAGGACAGACTGGCCCGTTACACATACCGGCCAAGCGTCTTGGCGGTGGCACGACGGCAGGTTACGATTGCCCCGAGCCCGGTGTTATTCGGCATTCACATCCGGCACCTTGGACCGCTTATTCGGAGAGCCATTCCGGATTCGATCCTCATCAGTACAATGCCCCTACATATTACAACCTGCCGGGCGAAGCACGAGATGGCCCGGGTGGACGCAAAACTGGTCCACTATCATTTTGGTCGCCCGCGGCATCCTCTGGTTACGGTACGGCCTCTGCTCCGTCAGATTCAGCATGCCAGCAAGGCTTCTCTGGTCAAGGATATTGGAACTACGGCGGTCGCCATCCTGCAGCACCAGAACCGCCTCAACCTGTTCCATACCTTGCACCTTCCGAAGACAGGAGAGCTGCTGTCATTGCAGCAGAAAGTGCAGGATTTCCTCACGACGGCTACGGCTCGCTGAGGAATTATGCTGCTCCAGAACCAGTTGCTGCAGCACCATATCCTCCTCCAGGTGAGTCTCTACCGAGTTTTGACATATATTAAAAGTGCAATATTTCAAAATAAGTGTATGTGTTACATATCATTTTGAGCTATTGCGCGTACAACTTTATTTTAAGTATATGGTTATCGTGCAAATGATGCCACTATATAGTATCTGGGCAGCTGGCACAACAAACGATTACCAGATTGATATATGATCATTTTTTCGTTAAGTCGGTTATGAGTTATTCGATATACAAAAAATTATTCAATTGTTGTGTTCGCGTCCGAGATTCTTATACGTGAAATATGACATTTAAAGAAAATTCCAATGTTATTTAATTTTTTATTGAATTGAAACATATTTGTAGTCTATTGAGAAACTAAGAATAAGTATACTGTGAATGCAGTTTTAATCAAAAATACTTGTTGATGTAATTTTTATTTTTTAATTATCAAAATTGTTATGGATAAAATCTATTAAATATCCATGCATCTGATAGTTTCTTACAATGTCACTTATTGTAAAATATTTAATGTTTGAATGAATAATTTTTAAATTATTATTATCAAAATATTGTATATTATTATTACATCGATATTATGTATTTATTTCTTCGAATTTAAATTAAAAAAACATTTACAAGGTACTCAAGACGCAAAAGATGATCATACATATCAAAATTAAATTAGTTAGTAAAAAATAATTAAAGTTTCACTATTAATCGCGTTGTCCGAATTTAATTAGAAAAATGAACAAAAATTAAGCTAATACATATCCCAATTTATGATTTGTTATCATAATATTATGAAAAAACATCGCATGTGTTATGCAAGGTAGCGTTGTTCCCACTACAACCGTATCACAGTTCGTGTATAGTCTAGTTGGGCATTTATAAACGTGTCGGCGCGCGTTTCGTGCAACTTCTGTAAATGCATCCTGCTCTTTTTGTTTTTGCATTTTCGTAGTTTTTTTATTACAACAACAATTTATTAATTTCTATAAATCATTTATTGTATTAGTTTCTCGTTTTTGCGTGTTTTAACGGAATAGCGACGTCGCATGTCGCAACGTATATAAATTTCAGTACAGCACGTGAATACCGCCTATCACGAAGGCCGTGCTGGAGTGCCGTAAATACATAATTACAAACATCTCGTCGCGAAATTAGTAATGCATTGATAGTGGCGGCTTTTGAGTTAGCGCGTAATGTCTTTTATTAGGAAACTGGTGCATCCTAAGCAAATACGTTATAAACGAGCAACACCTGAGGCCGAGTCATGTGTTGTGTTGTTTTGTATGTTGTGTACGATAGTAGTATGTGTGCATGCGGAGTGTCGCGGCCATTACGTGCGGTAATAAAACTTTAAAGGCCGCACGCGAGACGCACGCTAGACCGGGACCGCGCTATACATTATCGTCATCTAGAATGAGACACCGAACCACGGGCGGACTTGACCTACACAACACCCGTAAATCTTAGTGTGATTCTCAGCAATCGAGTTATATTGGCCAATAATATCGCAATAAACTCATGAAGTGGCACGGTTGTGTCGGCGGCGGCACGGTTGTAGTTTTTAATAGTTTTTAAACACTTCCCGAAGAGCCATATACTTTTGTTTACGATGCACCGTGAGAAATTGTCACTTGCTTCCATATGCCTACCGAGCGCATTTCGTGCGTGCCGCGATCACTTAATATTTTATTTGTTGATTTTTTCCGTATATTTATTATTACAAGTGCACCATTCCACGACAAACTAATTGTTCAAAGTGATGTGGGGATCCCCCCCGTCCGGTTTGTTCCCCGCAGGTTCGCTGTCTGTGGGCTGCGGGTCTGGAAACCCTCTCGAATGGACCGGTCAGGTGACCGTTCGCAAGAAGCGCAAACCATACTCCAAGTTCCAGACGCTCGAACTGGAAAAGGAGTTTCTCTTCAATGCGTACGTTTCGAAGCAAAAGCGCTGGGAGTTAGCACGAAACCTGAATCTGACAGAAAGGCAAGTCAAGATTTGGTTTCAGAATCGACGCATGAAAAACAAGAAGAATTCGCAACGGCAGGCGGCTCAAGCGCAAAACAACAACAACAGTGCGAGTGCGAACAATCACAACCACAACAGTCACAGCGGTCACCACGCCAATGGGCACCACCACGCGCACCACGGCCTGGCGCCGCATTTGGGGGCGCACAGTGCGGCCAGCAAGCTGTTGCAGTGACCCGCGTACTATCACGGGCAGCACGGGGTCGCGGCGGGCTTGCACCATCATCAACATTATCAGCAGCAACATCAACAGGGCTTGCCGTTGCCGTTGCCCGGCACCCATTCTGCCGCTCATTCTGCCGCCCAGGTGCCACAGTGAGGACGTTATGCCATGCGCGAACGCGGACACTCCTTTGTACATAGTCATTACCTTAAATTTTACTAAATATTATTAACTGTACCTAAATGTAGACATTTCTGATTTCATTTTCGTCAGAACTTCGTCATTGTGTATGTAAGATATAGTGTCAAATTATTGTTTATCGTTTTGTTTAATGGTGGATTGAAAACGACAGCAACGGGCTTGACGTCTTTGTGCGCGGGCCGGATGATTAGCAATGATTGTTTTAATTTTATAGGACGATTCTTAGTTTTACTTTTAACGTTTAGGTTCACGTGCCCGAAGATCTGATATTTGTGTTAGTTTATTATACCTAATGATTAAGTTACAAATCCTGTTATGTAAATTATAGTAGAACTTTTTTTACTGTTTATAATTAGATATGACTATCATGTGTTATCGCAGTTTGTTTCTTGTTTGTTTATTTTTTAATTGATAGTGTATGTGTCGTGTATCATCCCGAATACTATATGTATCTTTATAATATTTATATATGCGTACAAATATAAAACATGTGCATTTTAGATATTTGTATACATATAGACATATAATATGTATATATTTATATATAAATGCATAAGAATCTATGTAATCTATTATAATCAATATATGTAAAGTACCACAGACATGGAAATTATTGTATGATATCAATCACATGCATCCGCGTGAACTATTGACATTGAATTGAAGTCCTATCATGCGTAACAGAGAATATATAATATAATAAATTAGTATGAATAACGTCTTTTCTAGCTCTGACGAAGACTCATATCTCTTCACGATTATTATTTTGCTATTAATCTGAAAACAGAACCGATCGCATTCGGATGCATGAAGCGTTATTATACAAGTGATTATTATCTTTGATATGGAATTGTTGCAGTGTGATCAATTTTCAATGTGTTCGATGAGAGAATGAAGCAATTTGCTAAAATATCATACAGCATTGTCCGTTCCTTGTGCGCTGTGATTACTAAAATTTTGTTGCACCTTTTTATTTTTATTGTTTATCATTTTAATGCTCATTTCGCTTTTCAAAATAAAATTCGAGACAAACTCTGTTATAATTAGTAGCTTTTGTAGTATAAAATCTGAATATTTTTTTTAAATTACTTCATTATGGTGCCATAAAATACTAATATATTAATGACAATGCATTGAATGGGATTATTGTTAAACTTATTGATTACAAATATTATTATTAATGTATTTAAGAATATGAGATAATATGCCAAATGAAATATTAATTCATTGCTCTCCCCTGTTTTGATTGCACACTGTATAGAAAAAAGCGTATTATTATTAAAGAGAACCCTCCAAAAATGATAAATAATATTATTGTATTACCCGTACTAATTGTATGTCTGTATCAATTATTGATTAGCGAATTAACCTAATTAAATATAATAATTAAGAATATGATAAAATAAAATAAATAAAAAACCTCCTAGATACGAATTTATTTCAAAGTAAATAGAATAAAAATATATAGATCATATGTAATAAACCTGGAATGTGAAAAGCCAAAATACATTAGTATTGTACTTTTTAAATAACTTTTTAAAAGTAAACCAAGCAAAATCTGTTTTTCTGAAATATCGTGTACGAATGTAGGCACTATTGTATAATAAAAATATCTTCAAATTAACTTTACAATCACGAAATATATGTCCGGAATCGCATACAATATTTCACTAGACAGTTGTCCTTAGGCTAGAACGATAGGGAACTGCTATATCATTATAACGCTTCGTAGATATTTCCAAAAATTTCAAAATATGTTATCATTTTCACAAATCCAGGTACCATGATCTCAACGTGTTATTCATTAGGATTATACAATGTGCGAATAATTATGTCAACACCGTACAGAGCTTCGAATTCAGTGAACTTACGAGTGTTCTGATCGAATATCATAACTACAGAGCATTTTAGATCTGTGATCACGCTTAAGATCTTTCCCAAAATCTATATCACTATTGAGAACAAAATAAATGGAATAAAAATGCTCAAAAAAGCTTACCGCTGTCGTACAATAAATTAGATCTCCTTTCCTTTTCGACGAATTATAAAGATTTTACATAAGACTTTGTCGGAGATAGTTTGATACAATTTCAACAACATATTATATATTTCATTATTGTATAAATTTTGCAATATGTTATTAGAATTGTATAAATCTTAAGCGTGAGCGCTGCCTAATTACCGAAACCTGAATATTTTCGATTTGCATCACTTACCAAATCTTGTGCGAAGAAATATTTTAATCCAACGCTAAAGAAATTTATAACGTCGACCAAACGAAATATTCTAAAATGATTTCATAACGTTGAGCTCTCAAATTCCAATAAATATCAAATTATAATATATATATATATATATATATATATATAGAGTGTCCCAGCACTTAACGTCAAGCCGAAACGGGGTATTATTAACCTTAACTGTCTTGAAAAAAATTAGAAAAATATCTCACGTTGTTTGAAAAAAAATATAAGCTCCTAAGCGCAACCTAGAGCTTGTGAAAATATGATCATTTTTCGGCTATTGTGGTTAATTTTCTATTAATTTTGTTTACAAGCAGTTCATACATGATTCTTATACGAGAGAGCTTCAATGGGCGAGATAGAAATCGTGTTAATTTTAATAAAGTAATTTGCCAGTTTACAATCCTGATTAAAACGCCAACTTTTAATGAAACTTGCCAGCACAATTTAGTACATTTTTTTTCAAAGGAGGGCTGAACAAAAAGTCTTAATTTTTTACAACTTGGGGCAATTGTGTTTTTATTTTTCACTGTGGCATTAGAAACTTTATTTACGGTTCCGATTTCAAAGTTTAAATGAACGAAATTAACAAAAATGAACCACAATAACCGAAAAATGGTAATAATTTTACCAATGGTCTAGATTGAACTTAAATGCTCATAATTTAACGTAAGATATTTTTTTTCTAAATTATTTCATAACCCCGTTTCGGTTTGACGTTAAGTCAATGCATTACTGAATTTAAAGAAACTTTTTATTTTATATCATACATTTATTTTCAAACATTTAAATTTTTTACCTATTCGTAACTGAGAAACCACACACGTGATGAGAGTATAGTTTTCAAGTGATTGAATCGAAACACTGTCATGTCATGTTTCATGTACGTTTGGCATATAGAATCAAATAATTCATATTTTTATACCATAGTATATTCTTCTCATTTTTTCATTGTACTTAAATATAGATGTGCACTTTAGTTCCGCGTTAACTATTCCTATGTATTAATTTTTTTCTGCTTTAAATGTTCACTGAATTTTGCTACAGGTCGGAGTGATGAAATTTTTAATTAGTATTTTAATAAAATAAGAGACTCTTTAAGATACCGTATTGTAATAACTGTAAATTTTATTCTGCTTATTGATAAAGAAAATTTTATTTTAATCATTCGATTATTTTGTTTACTGCGTTTTTTTACTTAACTGTATGCATTTTATAGAATTGGTAGTTATCATTTTTGAGATGTATGCACCGAAGGTATTAAGGTGATTTTAAACCATAGTATTTTGTCTGTAATATTCATAAAAGATACTGTTTTAAGCATCTAATTAGAAGATAAATATATTATTAAAATTTAATAATTTTACATAAATACTATTGTTTAACATCATCTGCATACATTGAGCATTTTATTCAGCCGATATCGACATTGTTTCATCAGATAATAACAAAATAGTAATTCTTTTAATTAACAAATAGTACTTTAGCAGTAACAACGAATGATTGAACGGGTCAAGCGAATTATTGGAAACTAGGACTCAAATTGACTCAAATTGACAAATAGTTCTATTTCGCTGCATACAAAATTAGTGATATTTATATTTGTCATGAGATCAGCATATCAGATATAGAATCTATAGACTTTTTCTTCATACTTACTCTCGCGTATGTACAATGCAACATTTCAGAATTATTTCAATATGATTTTGCCGAAATATTGACTACTAGATGACTGACTAAATGTACAGTATTATACGAAAATTTAATCTCGAAATTTGGACTTCTCGAGTATACATTTCGATCAAATAGTTTCATCTTATTGTAGAGAATTATATACAGGTTGTTTCAGACCTTAACGTCGAGCCGAAAGAAAATGACCTCAATTGTCCTAAAAAAATGGAGAAAAATATTTCACTTTGTTTGGAGATTATGAGCTTTGGAAACAGTTCCAAAGTTTAAATTAACAAAATTATTAAAATTTAACCAAAGCTCTAGGTTGCACTAGAAGCTCATTATTTCCAAACAACGTGAAATAATTTTTTATTCTAAATATTTTCAGAATAGTTGAGGTCAGCACTATCATTTCAGCGTTCTGGTCTTCGTCAACGTCTGAGACATCCTGGATACCTAAAAAAGATTTTTATTTTCAAAAAATGTTTTTTTCTATTGACATATTTATTTGTTGCTCTGTTTTTTGTTCTTATTATTTAACAAAAGCTCCAAATATTTTTTAGGTAAACACGGATCGCTATTTTGAAATCGAATGTAAATACGCGAAGTTGTATGTAGATAAAGCAGTCAATTGCATCGGCATAATATTGGTGATTGGCGCTCCCGATGATTTGATCTATTTTGTATTGAAACTTATAAATTACTTTTATATTTTTATTAAATTTTATAAATTTTATTTAGCATTTTTTATTAGATGTAATTTGTACATAAATGTTTATAGATCGGACAAATTAATTAGGACAGCGAATGTTGTTGATGCTATTTACTGTAGTCTCTTATTTTTATGGGGGCGCCAAAGAAAGCTTTATTTCTTGTACTTTAGTTATATCAAAAAATATTTTACGACAACTGAGATTATAGTAGATGAATGATTTAACTGACATATAACCGACTTATATGTTTATTGTACATTTGAATAATTTAAATGAATTTCGTTATGATAAACGTGTGTTCATTATTGTACTGAATTTGAGTAAAAAAAAAACTGATTTACTTATATATTGCATTGTACCTAAGCTGCTACATTATACGCTATGTGTAATTACTTGAACAGCTATACTATGTTTTATACAAAATAAAAATATTAATATGATATATATTACATTTACGTCTGTTGTATAAACCAATTCCCTCAAGATATTCAATGATTTTAAATAATAGTAATTTAATTAATTGATAAGTATATTGTATCGATGTAATAAAACTTGTCACCTATAATAGAGTGAATAAACAAGATTTATTTAAGAAAAAATAATAAGAATAAACGGAATTTTTTGAT